TTCTTATGTATTTATTTTTTTATAATATATATAGTATATAATATAGTTAATTATATATACGACAGCTTTATGTACAAGAGTTTTTATAGAAGAGTTTTATAGAAATAGTGTACAATTTTTTTCATAGTTCTTTAGTCCCACTTGGTGCCATTTCCTGATATCATATTTTTTTGTAGAAAGTATATATAATAGCTTTTTTAAAAATTTTACTATATACAACTTTTTTTTGAAAGGTTTTAATATCTATAACAGGTTTTTTTGAAAGGTTTAATATATACGACAATTTTTTTAAAAGTTTTAGATATACTGAGCATATTCTCACAATATCTGAAAACGGAAATTATACTTCGGATATTCTGAGCATATTCTCAGTATATCTAAAGGCGGAAATCATATTTCAAATATTCTAAGCATATTTTCAGTATATCTAAAAATGAAAATTATATTTCAGATATTCTGAGCATATTCTTAGTGTATCTCAAAAAGGATATCATATTTCAGATATTCTAAGAATATTGTGAAAATATTCTCGTATACTCTCCGTACATTCGTACATTTATAGAATATACTGAGAATATCATGTGCTATCTGAGATACTTATTTATCAGGATATTGCATGTGAGAGTACTCTTGAATGTGACACAAAATGATTACCTCCTTTATCTCTTGATGACCATAGAAGATTATTGCAAATTTGAAGAAGAGTTTCAACAAGACAGGGAAATCAGAAAACAGTTTGTAAGTTTTTTATTCAATGTTGCTTTAAAACTAAACTATCACGGCGCATTTCAATATAGAATTTCAGTATAGAATTTAGTATTCTATCTGGATAAATTAATCACTATTTTACATCTGGTTTTTATGTTGCAGAAAAAGAAAATTTCAACAATTGAAGGAACTACATATGCTAATCAGACGAGAAATATTCTGAACATCATTTTAGATGATAACATTTCTAAAAAATAGTCGTGAACTAGAAAAAATAATCAACACCAACAAAAGACACAACATTTGCTAGCATTATTGTAGTAATTAAAACAAAAATATTATAAACATAAGTTTAAAAAGTATGTTATAATTTACACAGTAAATTAGTTACTTTTCTTTAAATAAATTTCAATTATGAAAAACAAATCAATATATGCAATTGTTAGATCAATCTGATAATTTAAATGCAACAATTGTTACATTTAATTTTTTATATTTAACAACAGTTTTCAATATTAAAGTATAAAAGAATTGTAATTTAAACATAATTTTGTATTTATTTCAGATTACATTTCTACGGTAGAAAATTGCAGTCTTCATCAGGTGCAGAAAGTTATGTAAGAATGGTTTCGGCATGCAGGAGATCGCCTCAATTATTTATTGAAAAAAGGTGACATAAATGAGTAGTATTACAAATATATATATGTATATTTGGATTTTATATTTTAACATATATATCTAATATAGTTTATATAAGATGTAACGGTAATAATAATTTTATAATCTATAATTTTATTGCAGTATACTTGAACTCAGTGAGCAAAATAATATTATATAATATAATAACCAATTATAACGATACAAAAACATCAGATGACGATCATTTGCTACTTGAGTAATTATTTTACAATAGAATTCTTTAAAGAGTATAAAATCATCATTTTAATAAAACGTTTATCTTAAGGGCATCTTAAAATAAGTCTTACAGTCGTCTTATAAAACAAATCAAGAGACATCTCGAAGACGTTTCTAAATCGTCGAAAATTGTTGCATAAGACGTCTCATAGACGTTTTAAATACGTTTCTCAGTTTTGTAAGACGTCTGAGTGATTTTAAGATGTCTTTCAGACGAACATAAGACGACATAATGTTGTGTGGGTAGGTTAGGTTAGGTTAGATTTGATTAGTTTTTAGCCGTTATTATTCAGATATTGATTGTATTCAAAGACGTAAGAAAATTAGCTTTTTTAATTTCTTGTTTGTTTTTTTTTCTTGTTAATAATATTTTGACACGTCGGTACTTATAATCATGTAATTTACTAATATAGTGAAACGTTTCAGCAAAATGTTTTTAAATTTTAATGATTTTTTCATGGAAATCTTAAAAATCGTTAATCTAGCCGGATAATTAAAATTAAAATATCTCGGAAACTAAACATTTCTGTACATTCGCACTTGTAGTAAGTGGCCTCAACTGCATTCAGTGTTACGTGCCTGTAAAATTTTATCAAAATCAAGGCTGAATCGGATACGGAAGCTCAGCCCTTCACGCTACCCTCGTCAGCATTGGTTTATGCTCGGTTGTCTCCGGTGGTATTCGGTTGCGACCGGCAAGCGCGTGGCGTGCGTCCGGCCGCTAGCGCCGTGACATGTCGGCAGCCGACCAAAGCAGCTTAAAGTCAAACGCTGACGATTGGGAAACGATGTTGTTGTCTTCGTCGCGCGCGCCGCCGCCGACCATCACTTCCAGCTGCAGATCCGCAGTTGGTGCGTGGACTGTTTGTTCCATTCGTCGCGTTTCGACGACGACGCGCTTACTGTCTTAATCCGTTCGTAATCGTGACTGGTGCTGCGACAGTTAGAGCGGTCGTTGTGCGTCTACAATTCGCACATACATGCTGCATGTTCGTCGCCGTTGGCGATACAGCTACGTGCCTGCTTGTGGAAGTATCGATTCGTTTGAGTGCGAGAGCGAACGAGAAAGCGAGGAAGAGAAAGAAAGAGAGGAAAAGAGACTTCGTACTTTTGACTCGCGAGCGGCGTGCGAAAGCGTCACTTTACGCGCGTGGCGTTGTGTCGTCCCGGCGACACGTAATACATTTTACGCCCGCCAGCGGCATTATGCCGCGATTATTATAAGCGATGACAGCACACAGCGGCCTACTCGAGTAGCCGAGTTAACGCACTTCGGTGTGATAACGCACACGGAAGGAAGCATACGCCGTAACAACACGTCATCTCGATGGTGAGTCTACGAATCGGCGTCGACGTCACGCGTGCGTCACGATGAGCACGCGCTCGCTTACGCGCGTTTCTTCATGGCCAAAAACCGATGACAACTCTAATACAAATTCTCGGGAAAAACTCACTGGCGGTTACTTTTTCGGATTTAGGATTCGTGAGGTCATTGAACCTCTGTTTCTCTTGAATTTTATTTTGCTTTAAATTTTTTAATTTTTATTCTACTGTCTTTTGTCTTCGAGTTTGTTTGCTCTTTCTATTTTTTGCATCCTTTTCTCGCACGTCGTCACGTGAGAAGGCGCAGATAAATGTAAATCGTGACGTGACACGAATGCGAAACGCGTAATACGAGGAATGACTTCATTCTCCCGCGAAATTCTAAAGAGGATTTCTCGATACATTCTACGGCGACCATGATTTATTGGTTTTGAATAAAATGGAAATCAGATTCTTTGACGATTGGATTTTGTCCAGAATAAACTGAAAATCGAAAAAGTTTACCGGTAATTTGTTAATAATTTACTGTAGTAGTGTTGTGTAATCTTCGTTAATTTTTGGACAAATCAATAAATTCCGCAGAAAAGATGAATAAAACGCGTAAATCATCATCAGATGTTTCTTAATTAACATCAATGATTCTTAATGATGTTATGCAAATATATGCAATATATGATATTATGTTCGTGCAGAAAACAAATTTTTATTCTGTGTATTGCATTTGTTCTAGATTTTTTTATGTAATATTTATTATATAAATGTCCTACGCTCTTTTTTAGAATGCAATATTATTATTTTTTTCTTTTCTACTTTATTTTTCCTGTTTTTATCAATAATTTTTCTTCTTATTAACGATAATTTTTATTTTACGTTATTTTATTGTAGTCTTGTTTTTTTAAAAATTCTGTCGAAATTATGTGTATTATTATTATATTTTAGTGTGTGCAAAATTCATTGAAATATGATAACTATTTGCTTAATACAATTCTTATATTACATTTCCTCCTGCTCTAGATATACTTTTATAATTCTGCTTGGATTGAAGTCATCGATTGAGATTCCTAGATTTTTTATGTGCTTCTATACATTCTGCTATCTCTTTTGCAACTTTACTCTAAAGATTTACTACGTGTAATCACGTATAATCACTAAGGCTGCATTCTGATATTCACTGCCAGTACTGAAATGCTATACGTAAATGTAAAAAAGTGGTTTTAAACCAGGAATGTATACAATGATGCTGGATATGTTACAATGATAAGTGAATTTTAATCTCTGCATAATTGTTATTAATAAGCTATAAAATTATTCACATTTTTAATTTAAATAAAGGGGTATAAAAACAAAACAATTTTAAAAACAAAAAAATTACTACACACAAAAATGAATCCTTGAAGAAACGCAAATATGCCTTGATCTAAGAATATTTTATCCATAGAATAGCGCCAAATATAAATAATCTCCGATTAAGAATAAATTACACACATCTGCAAAGTTTTGTTTAAGAATTATAGGTGGTTTCTTAATTTTGTACGCTGAATACGAATCTGATCGCAGAAATTATCACATCAGATTTTTGAGTTAATTTGCGTAAAATAGTCCAAAAATGACGATTTTGGCTGTATTTATGAAAGTATTATAGAGAAAGTAAATTATTTCCTATATTTTAACTGATATAGTATAGCTTTATTATAGTACTATCCTTCCTCTTCAAAATCAATTTTTATTTGCCAACGTGCGATTTTTTTTCGCCGAGATATACCAGTTAGAAGTTATGAACTTTTGAAAGCATAGGAGTATACTTAGCTCTTTAACAGGCTGAAGGAACTGGGCACTAATACAATAAACTAAATATATTTCAAAGAGTTTTAGGGGTCGCTGATTTTAAACCTGGAGTCAGATTTACAAAATTCGCAATGGCGGATTCAATGTCACGGATCCCTAAATCTAAATTTTAGATAATTATCTAAATAATCTAAAATTATCTAAAATAATTATATTTCGGCGAGAAAAAATCTCACGTTGGCAAATAAAAATTGATTTTGAAAAGGAAGGATAATATTATATAAAGCTAAGCGGTTAAAATATAGGAAATAATTTGCTTTCTCTGTGATACTTTCACGAATATAATAAAAATCATCATTTTTTGACCATTTTACCCAATTTATCTCAAAAACCTGACGTAATAGGCAATTTCTGCAGCCAGATTTGTATTCAGCGTATAAAATTACGTAGGAAACTATCTATAATTCTCTAACAACTTTTAATATTCTTAATTTTGCTGACCTGTATTATCCTTAAGAAATTAGCTAATGGCTAGACAAAAAACTTATTTTGTTAATGTAATCTTAACAAAGCTTTTATCAATTTTTTTTATTGGTGATCTAGTTATCGATGATTCTACTTGAAATGTTTGTAATTCTTGTGCGATTATTTTATTTTATTTGAAAAAATTATTTATCTGAGATGGAGGTTTTGAACTCGAAATTCATGTGAGCCAAGTATTGCACGTACTATGCCATTTTTATATTAGTTATTATATATTGTATATATTGTATATATTGTATATATTGTATATATTGTACATATCGTACATATCAGCAAAAATCATAAATTCATTATCATCATAAATTTGTATTTATCTATAACTAACACTGAGATACATAGTTCTGAAATAACATAAGTCCAATATACAATCTAAATGGCAAATTGTCGAAATAAAGAAATTCTTCATCCAGTAGTAATAAAATTTATTATGACTGGATTTATTTCAGTTTCTTATTTCTTTATTATTTATGTCAAGTCTTTATTATGACACTTTATTGTGGAATAAAAATTTATCTAGTAATGGCTAAGCTAGATTACAAAAACTGATTATAAATTTTAGCTAGTAATCAGCTATATCTTATATTAAAAAGTTTATTTTTAGCTATACTAGTTTATTTTTAGCTGTACTAGCTTGCCACTAGTCATTATACAGGGTGTCTGGCAATAATCGCCTCACCGGTCATATACAGGTAGAGGAGGTCAAATCGAGTAGAAAAGTCCTTTACCATTTTTTAATTTTCATAATAAGTACTGAGTAATTAACGAAAAAAGATCGGCGAATCCGCGCGAGTAAAGCGCGCGCGGTGAGAAGGACGTCCCACTGCTATGCGATCACTAGGACACAAGGATCTAGCGTTACGCGCCGCTCGTATGTTGCCATTGTCATTTGTAGAGCGCTCCTCCCAACGCTTCATCG